TCACCTGAAGTACAATAAAATATTAAAAAAAAAAAAAAAAAAACTAACTCAAAATGGATCAAAGACTAATTATAAAATTGAAAACAACAAAGATCATGGAATTAAAAATAGGGACAACTCTAGGAGACCTAATACATGGCATAAATAGTATACAAACCATAACTAACAATGCGTAAACACCAGAAGAGAAACTAGATAACTGGGAGCTCCTAAAAAATCAAACACTTATGCTCATCAAAAGACTTCACCAAAAGAGTAAAAAGACAACTACAGACTGGGAAAAAATCTTTGGCTATGACATATCCGATAAGGGTCTAATCTCTAAAATCTACAAGATACTGCAACACCTCAACAACAAAAAGACAAATAACCCAATTAAAAAATGGGCAAAGGATATGAATAGACACTTCACGAAAGAAGACATTCAGGCAGCTAACAGATACATGAGGAAATGCTCATGATCATTAGCTATTAGAGAAATGCAAATCAAAACTACAATGAGATACCATCTCACCCCAACAAGGCTGGCACTGATCAAAAAAACACAAAATAATAAATGTTGGAGAGGTTGTGGAAAGATTGGAATACTTATACACTGTTGGTGGGAATGTAAAATGGTACAACCACTTTGGAAATCAATTTGGCGCTTCCTTAAAAAGCTAGAAATAGAAGTACCATACGATCCAGCTATCCCACTCCTTGGAATATATCCTAGATAAACAAGAGCCATCACACGAATAGATATCTGCACACCCATGTTCATTGCAGCACTGTTCACGATAGTAAAAAGGTGGAAACAACCTAGGTGGCCACCAATGGATGAATGGATAAACAAATTATGGTATATCCACACACTGGAATACGACACAACAATAAAGAACAACAATGAATCCGTGAAACATAACATGGAGGAATCTGGAAGGCGTTATGCTGAGTGAATTTAGTCAGTTGTAAAATGGCAAATATTGTATAAGACCACTATTATAAGAACTCAAGAAAAGGTTTAAACACAGAAGAAAACACTTCGATGGTTATGAGGGTGGGGAGGGAGGGAGAGGGGTATTCACTAACTAGACACTAGAAAAGAATTAGGTGAAGGGAAGGACAGGGGAAGTCAGCACGACTAGACTAAACCAAAGCTAAGAAGTTTCCTGAATACAACCAAACACTTTGAGGGACAGAGTAGCTGGGGCTGGGGCCTGGGGACCATAGTTTCAGGGGACATCTAGGTCAATTGGCATAACAAAGTCTATGAAGAAAATGTTCTGCCTCCTACTTTGGTGAGTGGCGTCTGGGCTCTTAAAAGCTTGTGAACAGCCATATAAGATGCATCAATTGGTCCCAACCCACTTGGAGCAAAGGAGAATGAAGAACACCAAAGATACAAGAAAAATATTAGCCCAAGAGACAAAGGGTACACATAAACCAGAGGCTGCATCATCTTCAGACCAGAAGAACTAGATGGTGCCTGGCTACCACCAATGATCACCCTGACAGGGAACAAAACAGAGTCCTGGATGGAGCGGGAGAAAAGTGCAGAGCAGAACTTAAATTCATGTAAAAATACCAGACTTAATGGTCTGACAGAGACTGGAGGAACCCCCCAAACAATGGCCCCCGAATGCTCTGTTAACCCAGAACTGAAACCATTCCCGAAGCCCACTCTTCAAAGATTAGACTGGACTATAAAACAAAAAAATAGTACTCGTGAGGAATGTGCTTCTTAGTTCAATCAGATACACGAGACCAAATGGGTGCCTCCAGTCTGGAGGCAGGATGAGAAGGCAGGAAGGGACAGCAACTGGTTGCATGGACACAAGAAACCCAGGGTGGAAAGGGGGAGTGTGCTCTCACATTGAAGGGACTGCAACTAATGTCACATAATCATATGTGTATAAATTTTTGTATGAGAAATTAACTTGAGCTGTAAACTTTCACCTAAAGTACAATAAAAAATAAAAGCACAATGCCTAAGGCCAAACGGTCTTCACTAATTTATCTAGACCATTGTTTGACTCAAATGTGACTTTAGGAAACCAGTTCTCTCAAGGCTTAAGGAAGGTCCAAAGATCATCTTAGGGCGATAGCTTGGGTGGGTCACTCCAACCTCCAAAGAACCCAGAAATCTGAAATTGACGAGGATTAAAATTCTGCTTCTCAGAATCAACAGATGCATTTCATGACATAAGCCGATTACGGTACCCCGAAGTTGCTTGGCCCCAGGGCTCCGCCCCTAGACGGAGGAACTGCCAACCAGATCAGTCAATTTTGCCACATTTAATATCCTGTTCCTGCCCGGCAGGGCTCTCTGAGCACAAAACGAGATAACCAGGTCACTCGCTGCTCTGGCGCCTACCTCTTTCATTTTGAGCAGCCAAACTGGGGGTGTGGCGGACGGATCCCGGACCGCCTAGACGGGATCCAGTGAAAGGGACAGTTGCCTTGGCAACCAGAGGCTCGCGCTCTCTCTCTTTCTCAGCAACCAGCAGCTCCTAGAGATGGCGTCACCAGCCCGCGCCCGGGCCTCGTAACGCCCTTTTGCGGCTACAGCTTGCCATTGGTCTGCGGTAAGACAGATGTAGGCCCTGTCCAATGGTACGCGCCGCGCTCTTGGGGGCCGGACATCTTTCCCTGAGGAGCTTGGCGCTGGCGGAAGCCGGGCATTGGTGGCCACCCGGTTCTTCGGCAGGTAGTGCGGAACAGATCGCTGGGGATGCGGGGGCCGGGGCGCAGGATCTGGGGCCGGGGAGTGGGGTCGCAGCGAGCGCAGGCTCAGCCAGCGGGCCCTAGCCGCGGAGCAGCTCCGAGCGCTGGGTGGGCTCCCCCCGGGCACTGGCTGGTCCACGTGGATTCGCGGAGGCCTTGCTTTGCGGACCCGTCCGGGGCGGCATGAGGGGTGGGCTGCCGGGGGTCCGCGGCCTAGTGAAATACAGAATGGCCCCCTCGGTCTCTGTTCATCTCGACGATGTCTCCCAGTTGTATAAAGTGTTTCCGAGCCGAGGGAACATCGCGTGAGGCTCCGGATGGCACTGGCCTTGATATCGCCGTAACCCTGGCCTCGGCTTCTTCCTCTGTACAATCGGAGTTCGAATTAGTGAAGCCACTAGGTGACCTCGGAGGCTTTTCAGCTCTGATTTTGCGTTTCCTTTCTTCTTTCTTTTCCCCTTCCCCTTCCTTCCTTCCTTCCGTTCCTCCCATGTGTCAGCACCGGTCAAGACGCTGGGGCTGCAGCAGTGACAAAATAGAAACACGTCCCTGATCTAGTGAATTTACATTCGAAAGTGTAGGGATAGAGAATAAAGAAGTAAGTAAGACACGTGCATCCGATGGTGATAAGTAGTATGGGGAAAAATAAAGCAGAAAAGAGAATACAGAGTGAAGACGCAAGCAGGTGAGGGAGTGACCCAGGCTGGTAGCTAGGAGAACATCCCAGGCAGAGCGAACCAGCAAGGTGCCCAGTGCAGTGTGGCTGGATCAAATCGAGCAAAGGAGACAGAAAGAGGGGACGAGGTCAGAGAGAAGGGGGCAGAGCAGTCATGTAGGACCTTTGTGAGAAAGTAGATTTTTCCTCTGGGAGAAATGGGGAGTCTTGGAAAGTTTTTCAACAGAGGTGAGATACAACCTGATTTAGACATTTTAAAAGTCTTTCTGGATGCTTTGTTGAAAATCAGCTGGGGGCAGGATCAAGGGTGGGAGCAAGAGGTCATTTAGAGGCAATTGCATAATCTAGGTGAACGATGGTGGCTTAGACCAGAATACTGGCAGTAGAGGTAGTAAGAGGCAGTTGAAATCTGGATGTATTTTGAAGATAGAGCCAACAGGATTTACTGGTAGATTGTTCGGAGGTGTGAGAAGAGAAGTCATGGATGACATCAAGGTTTTTTTTGTTGTTAGTTGCCATCGAGTGGGCTCCGACTCATGGCAACCTTATGTATAACAAAACGAAACATTGCCCGTTTCTGCACCATCTTCATGATCGTTGGTATGTTGATCCAGTGTTGCAGCCACTGTGTCAGTTCACCTTATAGGGTTTCCCTCGTTTTCACTGACGCTGGTCTCATTTTTGCTAACCTCATTTTCGTTGATCAAGGTTTTTAGCTTGAGCTACACTCTGGATTTTATCAGATGGCCATTGATTGAGGGACTAACACTGCAGGAAGATCAGGTTTGTGGATGATGATCAGGAGTTTCAATTTTGCCATGCTGACTTTGAGATATATGTAAAATATATGTTACCTATATATTATTGCTGAATTTCACTAACTTAGACCTCTCCTCTGAACTACGCTGCCAACTTGACCTTAATATATATTGTATATTATAAGTATGGAGCCCTGGTAGCACAATGGTTAAGAGCTTGCCCGCTAACCAAAAGGTCAGCAATTCAAATCCACCAGCCGGTCCTTGGAAATCCTATGGGGCAGTTCTACTCTGTCCTACAGGGTTGCTGTGAGTCAGAATCAACTTGACAGCAATGGGTATGATTTATTTTTTTAAAAATTATAAATATATGATGCGTGTAACATGTAATATATGTCACATGTATACACATGTGACACATATGCATATATATACAGTAAGGTTGAGTTGGAGTCACTGGGTAGTACAAACAATCAATGTGCTCTGCTGCTAATTGAAAGGTTGGAGGTTCTAGTCTACTCAGAGGCACCTTAGAAGAAAGCCCTGGCGAATTACTTCTAAAAAATCAGCCATGAAAACCCTATGGAGCACAGTTCTGCTCTGACAGCCACGGGGTTGCCGTGAGTCGGTGTTGACTCCATGGTGACTAGTTACAGTTGAGTTGCAGTGTAGTTCAGTGTAGAGGTCTATGTGAGAGACAACTGGGATCCTCCATGTAGAGTTGGTATTTAGACCAGTGAGACTGGATGGGATCACAAGGAGTGAGAGTGGGTGGGAAGGAAGTTTTGAGGTGCTCAGAGGTCAAGGACATGAGGAGGTAGGAGAAAAGGCAGGAGCACATGTATCCTGGATGCCATGTGAAGAAAGCACATCCAAGGAGAAGAGAGAAAAGAGCGGTTACCTGTATCAGATGCTGTGAGGCCAACTAGATAAGGACTGAGTTGGCCGTGGGGTTTAGCTTGCGCACGTCACTGTGCATGCCATTGGCGATCTTTTCCGCAGAGTGATTGGGGCAGAAGCTGATGGGAGAGCGCACAAGGAGAATGGGTAAACAGGATTGAGAGCCAGTGCAAGGAAACAATGCTTGAGGATTTTGCTGCAGAAGGGAGCTGAGAAATGGGGTATACATGGGAGGCATAGAGTGGAGAGTTATGGTGTGGGAAATTGGAATTGATTCAGTGGAAAGGCGGTGCAGGTGAGGGGAGCCCCGAGTGAATGGGAGGGGACAGGACCCAGTGCACCATTTGAGGGACTGGCCTCAAGGGAGCGCAGCCATGTGTCCCTTGTCACAGAAGATGGCCGTGCCGCTGGGTAGGCAAACCTGTGGTAGAGCTTGTGGGGGCTGTTTTATTTTCTCAGTGGTGAGGAACCGAGATCACATCGTGAGATGAAGATGGGGCTAGGGGAGGGAGGTATTGGGGGTTTGAAGAGATTGGAAGAGGTGAAAGGGAGGTGTTGTCATTTGGGAAGGTGACTGGACCAGGGGACTGGAGTGGAGTTGGGGAATCCCTGAAGATCCCTGTGAGGTTAGTGGTTTTGAATGTAAAGTGAGACCTGTTGGCCTGGTTGTGTGGTTTTACCAGGCTTGCAGTCAACAGAGTTAGGCAGGAGTCAGTACTAGAGTTGTGATTTTGCCAGGCATGCACTACGAAGGGAGAGAAGTGTGAGGGAGTGATTATAAGGATGGACTGTGGAAATTAAGCTGTGGAAATGAGACCATCTGAGGGGTGAGGGACAGGAAGACACTGTACCATTGGTGGATTGAAGGACTGTAGGATCCTGGGATGCCCACAGTGGGGTGACCTGCGAAGATGGGAAGTAGGATTGGTGAGAGGGACGCTTGGGATTGAGATGACGGTGGACTTGCAGTTATTTTAATGACAGGCTTTAAAGCATTGTCTTGGGGGTCGGTTAGCTGAAGAGTAGAAGCTGGGGTGCTGTTAATCTTAAGTGGGCACATCAAAGCTGTGAGGGAGGCCTGGGTCAGAACAGGAGCAGAGCCACGTCCTGGGACAGGCAGTGGGGTTCAGTGCCTGGACTCTTCTGACAGGTTTCATAGAGGTTTATGAGATTGTGAAGGTCCAGACCCTCTTTTGGGGTGGGCCACAACCTGCCAGACCACATGAGAGATGATGTCTACATGCTGGATGAGAGGGCACATCTCTGGGTGGTGTTTTCAGATGAAGAGGAAGCCTTTTCCCTACAGGCAGACATTTTTTAGGGTCCTCTGTAGTTTCTTCTTAGCCCTGGAGATCTGGCAGTGCTAGCCAGTGTTTACCGACCTGACCCCATCAGTAATTAAATACCCCAGCTAGTTTACCCTAGCTAGTCAGCCTCAGCTAGTTAACCTCAGCTTGTCACCCTCAGCTAGTTAACTCCAGCTATTTAACCCTAACTGATCAGCCTCAGCTGGTTAACTCCAGCTAATCAGCCTCAGCTAGTTAACCCCAGCTAGTTACCCCTAGCTAGTCAGCCTCAGCTGTTACGTGGGCCCTCAGCTTTCTGCTGGTGGAGTTGTTCCTTTGCTTCGTGTCACACCCTTGGGTGGGTCTCTTAACATGAGTGTTTCTCTGCTTTTGTTGTAGAAATTACAGGAAAATATAAGGAAAAATAGAAATCTTATAATCCCGTCCCCTAAAATGCTAGCATATTTCCCTCTACTCCTTTGTGTATATTTTGTATGTAATTTTTGTCTTAAAACAAGGGTCACTTTGCAGACATGGATCTGTGCCCTGTCTTTTCACAGTACAGTGTAAACATCCCTCAGATGACTAAGTGTTCTCTGAGATCACTTTTTCATGGTTCTATAGGAATGTTCATTTGCATGAATGAGCCACTCATTTGTCTGGGCTGCTGTTGGACAGTTATGTCGTTTTCAGTTTTTTAATGTTAGAAATAATGCTGCCATTATTACCCTTACTTACAAATCTCTGCCCATGGTTATTTCATTAGGGTAAATTCCTAGAAGTGGAATTGCTGGGCCAAAGACCTTGACGGATGTTGTAGAGTTACCTTTTGGAAGGCTGCACCCATTTGCGCCCCCTCAGCACTGTGCGACAACGTCCTTGCATCACTGGCTGACCCACACTGGAGAGGATAATTGAAAAACATCTTTGATGTAAAAAAAACAAAAAAAAATGACTTTTTTAACCTATCAAATTAACTAAGTGATGTGTGCACAGAGCTAAAAAACTGAAATAGTACCGTCATTGTGTGCTGTCGAGTTGATTCTGACTCATAGTGACCCCATGTGACAAAGTAGAACTGTGCCATAGGGTTTTCTAAGCTGTAATATTTATGGGAGAAGGTTGCCAGGCTGTTCTCCTGCAGAACCGTTGGGTAGGTTCGGACTGCTGACCTTTTGGTTAGCCGCTGAGCGCTTAACCATTGCACCACCAGGACTCCTTTCAAGTAATGCTAGAAGACTCAAAATAACAGCAGCAGTTACTGTGCCTCCCCAGCCATGCTTCTCAGGGGCAAATGCAGCTTAATCTTTTAATTATTTCTACTGGAGTCACTTCCATATTTCTAAAGAATGTGCTTATATTA